TCCGCTGGCCAGCCCTGAACTGCCTGCAGCTAGCCCTGGGCTGGGGCATGCTGTCGCTGACAGCGTCTGTGACCCGGTGCATGGAGGCACTGGCACCCTTGGGCCGAGGGGCTTGGCCTGTGCTTTGAGTAACGCGGGAGCCGAACCCTGAGTGTTTGCACTTGAGCTCGTGTTAGCTTGTCGCCGTGCACTCAGGCTTCTCCGTGGAAAGTGATCTGGGGGAGGGAGATTATATGCTGTCCCAGAAAGGCCAGGAGTCCAAATAAAATGGCCAAGCAAAAAAAAAAAAAAAAAGGAGATAGAAAACAGTGGTTTCTGTGAAAGGAGCCTGACCGGTCCGAGGCAGCCGTCAGAGGTCTGCCGTCACCCGCACCGTGTCCAGGCCCGACGTCCGCTCTCACGCCCTCTCCCCTCTCCTCTGAGCAGTTCTACTCGGGGCACCGGTCCCCCCACATCCCGTACAAGCTGCTGCACCTGGTGTGGACTCACGCGCGGCACCTGGCGGGCTACGAACAGCAGGACGCCCACGAGTTCCTCATCGCGGCCCTGGATGTGCTGCACCGACACTGCAAAGGTGCCTCGCACGGGGCGGGGCGAGTGTGCGTGTACACCCCGGGCAGCGGGGTGCACACGTAACCCCGGCACAGCACTGAGCCCACCCCTCACGGTCGAGTCTGCATGCAGCCTTGACTCCCCACGAAGTTCCCTGCTGGTAGCCCACAGTACCCGAAGCCTTACCGGTCGGGTGGAGTTGGTTAGCGGATAGTTTGTGTGTCCTATGCGGGGGTCTCAGCTGGTTTGTGGAAAGTGCCTATTATGAGAAGAACTGCGGGGGTTTCAGTTCCCCTTGCACTGAAGTGCGCTGGTACGTGAGAGCATTGGTTTCCGTCAGCTTCGGGAGGCCCCCTCGTGTGTGGCAGGCCACGTTCTCACAGTAGGCTGTCCTCAGGTGATGACAACGGGAAGAAGGCGAACAACCCCAACCACTGCAACTGCATCATCGACCAGATCTTCACGGGCGGGCTGCAGTCTGACGTCACCTGCCAAGTGTGCCAGTGAGTGGTCAGCCACCCCAGGCGGGCGCGGAGCTTCTGTGCCCGGGATCGCTGCGCTCGGGGCGCTGCTAGGGCAGTCGGCAGCCTGGGGTGCTACGCTGCCGTCAGCGCGGAGATGGGCTCTAACTGGGCACACAGGCCCCTAGAGCTCCTGGGAGAGGCGCGGGCTTGGGGGTCATGCTCTCCTGTACTGAGCTAAACTTAGACTTGTGGCGGCCTGTGTATGCTCGTAGGAGCTCCGCAGGTGGTGGGCGGGCTCTTCCCAGGAGCACAGCCCGTCCCGCCGAGGTCTTTGCTGTCACCCGCTGTCTTGGGAGCTTTGCCCATGGTCCTCTGCTTCCCTCGAGGTTCCCGCCACCAGGACCCAGACAGCCTCCCTTGGAGAAGGCCTGATCTCAGACTGCAGTTCCGTGTTATTTATTTATTTTTTTTTTCTGTTTTTTTTTTAAGAGGTTTTTGCCATAGAGTGCATGCCCTAGCCAGACAAAGACAGAGAGACAGAAAGTGAGCAATCACCCCCTGGGGGATGACCACGCCGCAATCCCTTCTCCTCCCGGGATCTTGGGCACACACACACATGCACCTGGTATGAGTTTAAGCCACTGGGTCTGGGACGTGAACTGCGGTCGACTACATGGGAGTCCAGCGACATAGCCATTACGCCAACTGCTGGTCCCTGCAGTTCCCGTTTTTGACGTCTGTGCTCCACAGTGTGTTTTTGTTATTTTAGGACTTTGAAAATCTCTGGTGTGTCTCTAGTTCTCCTCAGGTGTCTCTGCTTAGAGCACTCAGATCTTGGTGCCAGAGGAGAACCCACTCCGTAGTTAGGGCAGAGGAAGCCTCGGATGCAGCCTCGGGGCATACTGGCATATTTATTCCGTTTTTTCTTTTTTCTTTCTTAAGAGTTTTGCTGTAAGGCGTGTGTAGAGAGAGACAGACAGAAAGTGAGAAATAACCCCCACGGGAGATGACCACGCCACAGTCCCTTATCTTGCATTCTTTTCTCGGGATCTTGGGCACGCACACACATGTGCCGTGTGAGTTTCAAGCCTCGGTTTTGAGACTTGAGTTGGCCACGTGGGGTTCAGGCGGCGTAACTGTTACACCTTCTGCTAGCCCTTCCTATTCCATTTTGAAAACCCTGGGCATGACCCCCTTGAATGACTCCGGAGGCCACGCAGTATTGTCACTTGCAGTCTGTGCAGGTCGGGCCAGACGTGGGAAGGTCTGTGCCACTTGTCACACTGCCACTTCTCTTGGTGTCTTCTAAGGCTTGGGAGACCGTGGCACTAAGCGCTTGGTTCTCTTCGCTGGCCCTCGACTACGAATCCCATGAGCAGATTGGCTCGGGTGTGTGTCCTGCTCATGGATCTGCAGTGCGTTTCCTGGTCTGTTTCCGAAACTCCAGGAGGTGGCTGGGCTTGCACAGCACGGCATAGCACTCAGCGGTCAGTGGGGCCGTATGACCATGTTTTGATCTCGTTCTCTCTTCTCTCCTTGGAGCAGAGACACTCTGAGTCTGTATTCTCAGGTGCAGCCGGGATGACCAGAGTCTCTGGACCTGGGGCTTCTACTTGATACTCTTCAAAAGAATCCCTAAACGGTGTCGATGGTCTTCTGGGCTTGGAAACAGTTCGTTAGGGGCAGCCTCTACCTCACGGGGAGCCAGGGCAGGGCGTGAGCACCCCACCTCGTCAGACCTGGGGTCTCTGGGCGAGGGCGAGTGCAGGGAGCGCTGGGACTCCCGCCTGGCGGCGCTGGTGCTCGAGCTCACCCCGCCTTTCTGCTTCTTGTGTCTCTAGCGGCGTCTCCACTACGATAGACCCCTTCTGGGACATCAGCCTGGACCTGCCTGGCTCGTCCACCCCGTTCTGGCCTCTGAGCCCAGGGAGCGAGGGCAGCGTGGTGAACGGGGAGAGCCACGTGGCGGGGACCACCACACTCACGGACTGCTTGCGGAGGTGAGAAGCGCAGCGGCGCCTGCGTGGGAAAGAAGGTGGCGGTGTGGTCAGTGCAGGGCCCCGCGTCGATCAGGCCGGTGGCTCCTGAACCCGCCACGGCACTGAGAAGGAGCCCGTGCTCCCAGCAGCCGCCTCGCTCATGCTGCTGTGTCGCTTCACCAGCTCTGCAGGACGTTTGTCCCACCCCGTCCCTGTGCATGGGAGCAGAGTGACACTCCCCCAGGGCCTGCTGTGATTGATAATCTACACCAGAGTGGACAAGGCGGGCCGGCCCCTGTGCCAGGATGCAGCCATGTTGCGGGTGACTGGAGTACGCTTGTAGCTGTGGCTGAATCTGCCCGTTAACTTCCGGGAGTTAGACACGCGAGGCCAGTTAGCACGCAGCCGCTGTCTGTAGGCGCAGTCCCTGGGCTTACCTGGCGGAGCATGACGTAGAGAGGCCAAGAGCCCTTCCTGACCGTGTGGAATCGAGTCCACCGTCTCGCCTGTTTTCCTTTGGGTGCATCATGAGTTCAGGCCTGGCTGCACATCCTTGCTGCCTGGGAGGAAGTGCCCCTTAGGATGGGGTTTTCATCTTGTTGCACAGGCAGTGGGAGCAAAGGTGCCTCTCTGGAGGTGTGTGTGCTTGTAGGGGTGAGGAGGAGAGAAAGTGGGGAAGCACTCCTCCCAGCAGGGTGGCCACACCGGTCCCTGCTCTACTTCTCTTGAGATTTGGGCGGGCATGAATACGCGACCCAGCATGTTGTCTGCTAGGACTGGGACTTGAACCATGCTGTCAGCCGTGTGAGATCCAGCTGCCTTTACCACCATGCCACCAGCTGGCCCATACGTTCAGAATCCGCCACACTGATAGGCCCGGCTAGTGGGCCCTCGAATGTTTAATTTGGAAAATAAACCAACAAGAGATTCTTCACAGCCTAGTGAAACTCAGTCAGGGATGTGGGTGAGGCTGGGGCTCTACCCACAGAGCAGGCAGGAGGGGAAGAGGCCACAGGCTCTGTGAGCCAGGAGCACAGGGCTGAGGCCGGAGAGGGGCTGGGGACGTCAGGGCCTAGGGGAGAAGGCAGGACGTGCAAGGACAGACAAGGGCTCTGTGTGCCTGGTATGAAGGAAACACATTCACTGTTTCTGTGTGTTAAAAGGGTAGATTTGGCTTGTGTGGCCTCTCGCTTCTCTCTGGGTGTGTCTCGAGCAGCTACCTGGCCAGGGCTGCCTGCTGACTTGGGAGGGGAAGCCTTTCTTCTCTTGCTTAGTCTCTTTTCACTGTTAGAATATGGCCATTTCTGGAAGAAAAAAAAATAAAGGACCAGCGGTTGGTGTAATGGCTATGTCGCTGGATTGCCATGTAGTTGACTGTGGTTCAAGTCCTGGACTCAGTGGCTTAAACTCCCCGGGCGCATGTGCATGTGCGCCCAAGATCTTGAGAGGAGAATAGAGAAGAAGGGATCGCGGTGTGGCCATTCCCCCGGGAGGTGATTTCTCACTTTCTGTCTTTCTGTCTGTCTTTTTCTTTCTGACGAGCGCACACCCCCTATAACAAAAACCTCTCCAGAAAAAAGAGAGAGAGAGAGAAAACGACCATTTCTGAGCCAGCCCCGTGGCCTCTTGTTGGTAAAGAGAGCTGGGCCCTACATGACTGATAGCGGTTTGAATCCCAGCCCTGGTGGCCTGAAAAACACACCAGATGTGTGCATGTGTGCCCCACACGCTGGCGGGGGGAGGGCATTGCTGCACAACCACGCCCCGCTGGGGTGCTCTCTCCCTCTCTCTGTCTCCCTTTGGGGAGTGCATGTACTCTTGGGAAAATAAAGAAGATCGAACTGCCATTTCCCCAATCATCTCTCTGTTCTTCCAGTTTGCTGTAGGTGCATGTTCTTGGCAGAGAGAGGGAAAGGGGAGCCACAGTCCCCCCTCCATTCTCCTTAGAATTTTGGGTGTGCACACGTAGGTGCCCACAGTGATTTTTCAAGCCACCAGGTTCAGGACTCAGACTGTGCAGTCAGCCATGTGGGAGCCAGCGCCTTAACCTCCATGTCACTGCTGGCTCCACACACCTCATGTTTCAAAATGAAATGTTTTGGGGGCCAGCAGGTGGTGTGATGGTTGAGGCACTGGATTCCCACATGGCCCACCATGGTTTGGGTCTGGCAAAAAAATTCCCCCCCCCAACACCCCCCCCCCCCGGTCTCTCTCTCTCTCTCTCTAGCTGTACCCTATAGCAAAGTTAAAAGTAGTAATAATAAAATAAAATTAAAAAGTCAACATTTTATGTTGGGATAGCCGTAAGCTCGTATGCATGTGTAAGAAAGAAGTCACAGAGGTTCTCACACCCCTCGCCCCTTTACCCTGCGGGTGACACCATGCGGCACCACAGGGGCCACCCCGCGAGCGCCTTCCCACTTCTCTGTTCTCTGTAGCCTGCACACCTGCCCCATAGCAAATTTTAAAAACAAAAAGAAAAGAAAGGGCTGACACTCCTTTTCCTCCCGGCCTCTGCCTGCAGGTTTACCAGGCCGGAGCACTTGGGGAGCAGCGCCAAGATCAAGTGCAGCGGCTGGGCCAGCTACCAGGAGTCCACCAAGCAGCTCACCATGAAGAAGCTGCCCATCGTGGCCTGCTTCCACCTCAAAGTAAGCATCCTGGAGAACCTGCTCCCGTGGCAGCTGGGAGCGGGGGCAGCTCCGGCCACAGGCGGGCCAGGCAGAGTGCCTTCTGGGGCGGCTGCAGGCAGGGGACGGGCCGAGACATGGGGGGGATGGGCGGGGGGGCAGAGGCGGAGGGTGGAGGCTCCAGGTGCTTTCCTGCCTGCTGCTCATCCCGAAAACCGGATGCGGTTGCTCTAGATAGGGTGGGGGAGGATTACGATTTTCCACGTAAACCCTCCTCCCCCGGGTTTTCTGTGTCACTTTGAAACAAATCAAGACCCTTTGCATGATGTTCTAGTCCAGGGACTGGCACACTTTCCCCATAAAAGGCCAGAGAGTAAATGTTTCAGGGTTTGTAGGCCACGTGGGTTTCTGTGGCAGATTCGTTTCTGTTTTATCTCACAACTCTAATAAAAGTGTTGAAACCGTATTCCCAGCTTGTTGGCTGGTCTCAGTGGCCCCAGTCCGGTGTGTTCTTTTTGCTGCTGTACAGGGGACTTGAAAAGTTCTTGGGGACAGAATGAAAAGTCCAAGTGTGTTTTGGTACAGGTTTCTGAAACCCATGCCTGGTTTCCCTTGGCAGCATGTCCCCTGTACTCTCTTGCCCTTTGCTCGGTTTACTGTGAGGTTACTTTTTGCACGCCTGGTGTTCATCACTGAATAGTCCCGTCATTTCAGAACTTGAACTCAAACCCATATACAGTGGATTGGTGTGGGTTAACATCATAATACCCTATCTGACAGCTCTAGACATGCTTACGAGGCAGTTCAAAACATAAAGAGCCAGCAGGTGGCTTGGTGAATACGCTGGATTCCCACGTGGCCGACCATGGTTTGAGTCCCAGACATGGTAGCTTGAAAATCATGCTGGGTATGCATGTGTGCATGCGTGTGCCCAAAACCGTGCGCGAAGAATGGAGGAGAAAAGATTGCTGTGTGACCCTTCCCTGGGGATGATTTCTCAGTTTCCCTCTTCTGCCTCTCTCCATCTCTCCCCAGTGAGGCCACATGCCCTATTGCAAAAAAAAAAAAAAAAAACTTTTTTTTTAAGGTATTAATAGTTGTTTTTAATGCATTTTTTTTTATTTCAAAAAGAAGCTTTAGTTTTAATAGATGAAAATCAAAAAATGTTAAGAGAAATTTGCTTGAAACTTAAAGCCAGGAAAAAGGTTATAGGATTCAGTAGGTAGATGAACCTATCAACAGTTCAAGAGAAGACAAAATCCTTAAATATGGAAATCAGAGCATTAGAAAATCAGTAAGATTTTAGTCTTAAAAATTCTGTTTCATTAGTTCAGACTCACGTAATTAATCTCTCTCCTATTGAATTGGCAGTGTTACTGTGGTCTGATCCTTCCATTTAAACTCCGGAAGCTAACATCCAACTTGTCCCTACCACCAGGCTGGCCATTCTCTGTTGTTTCTTGTACTCTTGTTTCTGTGTGTCCGACTTTAGTTTTCTTGGTATAGCACTCCCTTCAGCACTTCTTGGAGAGCCGGTCTGGTGTTGATAATTCTTTTAGGCTTTGTTTATCTGAGAATGTTTTTGTCTTTTTTTCCCATATGAAAGAGTCTTGCTGGATATAGTATTCTTGGTTAAAATTATTTTTCCCTTAACACTTTGAATATATTTTTTCTTTCTTTCCTTGCTTGCATTGTTTCCAATGAGAGGTCTGATATTAGCCTGATGGGGATAGCCTTTGAAAGTAACTTGAGGGACCACCAGTTAGTGTAATGGCTATGTCGCTGGACTCCCATGTAGTCGACCGCAGTCCAAGTCCCGGACCTGGTGGCTTAAAACTCACGCCAGGCGCATGTATGTGTGTGCCCAAGATCCTGAGAGGAGAATGGAGGAGAAGGGATTGCGATGTGGCCATCCCCCCTGTGGGGTGATTTCTCGCTTTCTATCTCTCTGTCTCTCGCTGTCTGGCGAGCACACGCGCCCTATAGCAAAAACCTCTCCAAAAAAAGAAAGAAAGTAACTTGATGTTTCTCTCTTGCCAATTTTAGTATCTTGTCTCTGGTTTTGGTCAGTCTGGCTATGATGGGCCTGGGGAAAGATGATCTTGGGTTAATTCTATGTGGGGTCCTCTGTATTTCTTGGGTCTGAATATTTGAGTCCCTCTCTGGGTTTGGAAAATTTTCTTCCAAGATTTCATGGACTAGATTATCACTGCCCTTATTAGTTACTTTTATCTCTTGGGATACCGATGATCCGAATGTTTGGGTGTTTAATGGTATCTAGTATTACTCATGTTTTTCTCATTTTGGGGGATTATTTTGTCAGTCTTTTCAGTGAATTTTTCTAGGTCAGAGGTTCTATCTTCTGCATCTGAGATTTCATCTTCTGCATGATCTAATCTGCTTTTGATATTTTTGGTTTTCTGTATTAACAGCCTTCATCTCGAACATTTCCGTTTGGTTCTTTTTATTTATTTATTTATTTTTTTTTGAGAGGTTTTTGCTATAGGGCGCGTGCGCTCGCCAGACAGAGACATAGAGACAGAAAGCGAGAAATCACCCCCCAGGGAGGATGGTCATGCCGCAATCCCTTCTCCTCCATTCTCCTCTTGGGATCCTGGGC